TTTAAAAATAATCATAATTCCATAGTCAAATCTTTTTACAATTGTGAAAAAACTATATTGATTTGGGGATCCTATAACATTAATTCTGTAAATAAGAAGTCAGCAAAACACATTATCTAAAAGGAAGAGGATTCGAACTCATAGGTACTGTGTATCTGTTGGTTTCACCCAGCCCAAATGATTCCTAATATCAGATGTACAGGTAATCACAGGTCTTGACTGTACCCCCAAAACACACAATTAAAAGTCAACCTTAGGGGATTCACTGTTCCGTTTTTTTCCCCAGTGTCATGAGTTTCGTGGTGTAGTATCCTATTGGTAAGCTAAAACAAGTAGTATGAGCTGAGCTGTTGAACCAGAAGTTCCCTATCAAACTTCTTAAAGGAGGTTGGCAGTAACCAGGTCCTAGTCCATGCCTGCTATGGATTATTCATCATTCTAACAAATCTTTGTGTTTGTGCTCTAGGCAGACCAAGTCTAAACATGCCTTCTCTTCCCTCACTCTCCTCTCTCTGCACCCCCCACAGAGTATATGCCACAGGATAATATTAGTCACTTATATATATCAATAGATTTCCTCAATCAGCCCACTCTTGCCTGACACTGCAGGGACCAGAAATGCACAAGACATGTATGGTCCTTACCATCAAAGAGCTTACTTATACAAAGGCAGCCAAGCGTTCATGCCATCATTGTATTGTAAGGGCCACTGTAAGAGTACTTCAGTTTGTTGTAGAAGCAGAAAACAGGAAACAAATACTCTGGTCTGTTACACTGGAATTTAGCACATGGATCTGAGTTGTCCATCTTACCATTGTGTCTCTAGTGTCTAACACAGTTTGCCCAATAAAGTTAGCACTCAAAAGATATGAATTTAATGAATAAATGTACAGTCTGAAGTGGGTATGGATGGCCAGGGGAAGATTCCAGAATAAGAGAGACTTGATTTAGGGCTTGAAGCATGGAAAGACATTAGATGATATAAGGCAAGAGGGAACTTCTAGAGGAATATAAGTGAAGTTGCAGAAGTAGACTCTGCGTAGAAATAAAAGTAGGATTTGGATACAGAGTTAATGCTGAGATGGATTCTTAAAAGGTTAATGTCATTTCAGTTCATGACTTATACATTGTTAAATCGTCAGAGTCTACTTCTAACATTTGTTAGTTTTGGCAGTGGCAACAAGAGGTTCAAAGACCTAGGAAAGATACATGGTCTTTCTTTGGGGCTGACTTGCAAAACTTTCCTAATCCAGTGCCAAGGTTTTTATGTGTCTCTACAATCTCCAGATATATAGTGAAAATCTTTAGTTAGGGCTACAAGATTTGTGTGGCTATCCATTGCTAAGCGTAGGAAGGTCTGGTTTCATGGTACAGTGAGCTGAGGTTGTCACCCTAGAACATACACCATTGAGAACTGTCCCAACAAGAGGCCATTTTTCTAATTTTTCCAGAAACAGTCACAAGGGCTGACTAGGACCATGTTCAGGATCATGACTCTTCCTAGCCCCCCTTTATTATTCTTCTTGGATGTGATTGTCTGAATGCCCAGATATGGTTTTTCTTCTTTGCTCACATCCTAGTAATTTTCATGGAGTCAAGTAGAACCACAAAGATAAATTAAGTTTGATGGTGTTCCATTTAAGATCCATATGGCTTCCGTTACTCACTGACTTGGAACTAACATTCTTACTCTTTTTGCCAAAACTAGTAGAGTTCTTTCCTATCTCATTCCTGTCCCCTTAACCTACATCTCTGCTTCTGTGCTTGTATTTTTGCATCATGGAAAGTTAAACATCACACTGTTTGCTGGAAAGCAGGTTGGTGTATAGGTCCTCCCCTGCCTAGACTTCATTTTCCACTATGGTAATATGGGAATAATAATACCTAACTTGCATCTTCAGAGGGTTATTAAGAAGAATCTAATAAGATCATGCATATCACAGCCTTTGCAAAAGCCATGCAAGATGTAAGGATGTTTTCATTTTTGAGTCTTCTCTAAGCATATGGCAGTCTCAATTTACTAAGTATTTCTGTTCCATTATACAAATAGCTACAGAATTCCCAAGGCTTTCCTAAACCTGAGTCAGGAAAATATTGTCAATCTCTTAGAATTTCTGTAGCTTCATATCTTTTATGCTAGTCTCTTGCCCCTGTGACCAACACTCTGGAGAACTCAATACATGTCTGCTGAATTAATGTATGAATGGCTCAGTATGTATCAGTCAGGATAGTCTAGGCCATGCTGCAGTAACATATAAACCCTGAAATCTCAGGTAGCCCAACAAAACTCGTGTAAAATCTGATGCAGATCAGTGAGGCAAGGGGAGGCCTCCAGTGACTTAGAGGCCCAGAGTTCTTCTGTATTTTGAATCAAGACATGGTTTCCAAGGTCCCTGCAGAGAAGGAAGAAAAAGATGGAGAAAGCTCAGAGCTTTTAACTACCCTGTCCTAGAGGTGACACATGTCATGTCCACTCACAGCCTGGTGGCCCAAACTAATCATACAGACCAACTGAACTGCAAAAGAGGCTACCGAATGACAGGGAGCAAATGCTGAGTGCTGGCTTCTCAGTGGCACAGTGCCCTCCATCTCCGTGAGTCATGGCTGCTACCACATCCCAGATCCTGTTGTAGACACAGGGAAACAGCACTATGTAAGGCAGACAGACTTCTGGATTTCATGGAGGGCATGCTGAAGTGGGAGTGTGAAAACATTTTGGCTGTGCTCTAGTTTTCTACTCTGTGCTATCTATTCTTCCACTCCACTTGTTTATTCTTCTCAGCTGTGCCATTTTTGACAGGGTCCACGTTTTTAAAAGAATAGGACTTGGGACCATTCTGATAGATCTGTGCTCCTCCCTGGGAAGTGGGACTTGCTTCTCTTGCTTTATCTCATGTCTGCTCATCAGGAGATTCAGAAGCCCCTATGGTTTCAGTTGGGCGGAAGAGAGCGGGAAGGAAGGCTGGGAGGCAGCATCTTCCAGCTGGACTTGTTTGAGTTGGCACAGTGTCTGTAAGCAGCCTTGACTCCAGAGCTGCTGGAAAATGTGCTTATCACCCTAGGGGGTTGAGCAGGAAGGAGAAGGTCCCAGCTCATAGAGTCCGAATGAGAGCTAATGGTAAAGGGGCCTCAACCTTGTGGTGGATAAACAGGAGGAAGACGTGGGGTTCTGGCTTCAGGCTACGAGCAAGCTGTGATAGTGTCTTCTCTATCCTAGCCAGACAAGATGGAAGCTATCGTTAGTTTCCACTGGATGAATGGGAGAAGCATGCACTTATGTTTCCTTCTCTGCCACTTTCTCGTGGCAGTCCTTTCCTGGTATCACTGGACTTCCCTTCAGCTTAAAGGAAATATTTTTTTATTATCTACCAAAACGCTTGACACCAGTCTCTGAGCTGACTTCACCCAACATGACTTGTTCCTCTAATGCAGACCAGTGTTTTTGGCTTCTCTGTATTTGATACTTACACCACATATCTTTAGCATCCAATTTCATACCTCTGTGTCCCGTTTTCCTTATGCCCTACAGACCAGAAAGCTGAAAACATCATTCCCCAGTCTGTCCTTGCTGTTAGGTTCAGATGCAATTTAGGATTTACCAATGAGTTGGACTCTTATAAGATGGTCAGAGGAAAGGAGGAGGACCATTCCTGTTAAGTGTTTGGTGTTGGCTGATTCACAGTCTCATCACATGGGAGCATTGGTGGTGGCCAGGAAGGCTGGTCTGGGACCCACATTTGAGGCTGTGGAGCACTGGTAATGGTGAAAGTGGTTTCCTGTAGCTTCCTGAATTGGGGGTGTAAGGTGCAGGAGAAGCCTGGAAGCCTGTTTTCAGTCCCTGCCATCCTGCCCACAATTTTGTAACCACTTATTTCCCTCTTCTGCTTGAAATACCTAGAGTAGTTTCTATTTCCTGCACTTATTTCCTAACCTATGCATTGCTTTTATACACTATCTCGCTTGAGTATCCACTGACTACAGCTGCCCAGAGTCACTCACTCACTAACAGGTGATCAGAATACATATTCTAAGGCCCATCCTCTTATCACTGCTCCCTGCTGCCTCCTTCCTTGTGTTTTACCTTCCAAATCGAGTTTCCCTCTGTTCACTCTGTCCCTGATTCCTGTATCCCAAGCAGATGTCCTTCCCATACCTCTTCCTGTTGGCTTATTCTGCCTAATATTGTTACTTACTTTTCCCCTCTAAACTTCTCTCCACAAGAAGAGAAGAAAGAATTTAGCTTTATGGTCAAAAGAAATGATTTTTATACTTGTGCAACCACTGCTCATGTGTATTCTTAATATTTGTTGGGTGGCACTGTGTTAAACTATAGAGTATAAGAACACAGCAAAGAAGGGAAACCTGTGTTCCTAAATTTAAGCAGATATTTCTCCCTACCTCAGAAGTCAATAAGACTCTAAGGCAATTATAAGCACTAGTGGGAGACAGGATGCACATGCTGGTGGAAGAGGACCCACCAAAGAAATGGTGGAGGAAGAGGAATCAGGAGGAAACCAGTAAGAAGGAATTTACCCATACAGCAAGCCCTGGTTTTCTTCCTTGCTGACAGATCACCCCTTTGCTTTATTTTTCAAGTCCCTAAAACCTTCCTGCGATTATTCCACAGCAGATATCCAGGTACCCCCACCCCTCCACCAAGTCACACACCTGCAGCTAGGCTAGGGGAGCCAGACCTGGGGGTAAAGATAACAGCTGTGCACACCACCAGCTTCCCTCAGAGGGAAACTTGGAAGTAATTCTCAAAGGTTAAAGGAAACTTGCCAATCTGGAAGCTGCTGGAAAAATCCAACATTACACTTAATTTCTTTCCAGTCTAAAGGGAGAGATTGAAAGGATGGAGAAGCTGTAGCTCATTGGATGGAGAACACCAGGGAAATCAGAACCCAGTAGTGAACAAGTGGATTTGCAACTGGAAAAACTTCTCTAGGTGGTAAAGTCAAGTCCTCTCCTTAAATTCCACCTTCTGGCTTTCCCACTAGATCCGTGTGCAAGTCTTGAGACTGGTACTAGCTTTTTGCTTCATGAGGACACTGGTGTGAGGATCAACAAAGAAGTCAGCTTCGGCCTGAAAGGAGCAGGCAGATGAACAAAGTGTGAGTGGGGGTGGAGTGGTAGAAGGAGAGGGAGGGGGGTGTGGGGTGGGAGGAGGGAGGGAAGGAAGAAGGAGGGTCCCAGGGAGCACAGGGAGGAAGAAAGCAGGCATAAAGAACGTTTCTGCAATAGAAAGTTCTGGTCCAAGCTTCTTCAAGTCCTGACCTGATAAACTCTTTAATATTAGATTTCTCATTTTGTACTGACCAACTGAAGTCTTTTTAGGACAGTTTGTAGTTTCTCCTGTGCCCACTTGGTTTCACAATTAGATGCCATCTTCTCCAGTCTCTGTGTGGTCTCTGGACCAGCAGCACCCCGTCAGAACTTGTTAGAAAGGCAGACTCCCCAGCCCCGCTCTGGCCATGCTAAATCAGAACCTGCATTTTAACAAGATTGCCTTACAATTTGTTTGCACATTAAAGACTGAGGCTGTGCCCTACAACTCCAGAAATGAGGAAAAGAGGGTGACAGTGAGTGAGTTTTCTGCAAGGAGGCTGAAGTAAAGGAGTATGCACTTGCCATAACACTCTCTTTTGGGAGAGACTAATGGCAGTTAGGCAGTAGATAGGCTGGTAGTAGGCCATCACAAACCAGGAAAACCTGGTGAGACCCTAAACCAGAGGATCTGAAAAATGCAGTGTGCACCAGAATCACGTGGAGAGCTTGTTAAAACACAGACTGCTAGTTCCTGCCTCTTCCAGAATTTCTGATTCAATAGTTCTAGGAATCTCTAGTCAGTTCCTAGGTGATGCTGCTGGTGCTGATCCAGGGATGACACTTTGAGAACAGCTGCCCTAAGCCATAAAGATATTCAGATAAGAGAACCTCTCTTCTACAAATGATTTGAGATAATTATGGTCTCAAATCCCCTACTGAATTTGCCATTGGAGACCAGACCACTTTACAATCACTTCCAGAAAGAGGCCCTCGTGGGAAAGCCCTGATACATTTTGACCAGCTGTGTTGGGTTGAGAGCTAATTAGGAAGGAAGCTAGCTAGAATAGTCTTGCTTTCCCAGCCGTGTTATCCAGCAAACCCAGAGACAGTGGGTTGGTAAAGAAAATTACACAGATGAGACCCGGAAGCTGCCATTTCATTGGGGGAAGGTTTTGCCTTTTCATTACAAGAGAAAGCTAGCATTTCCCATCTTTCCTTCCACCAAAAGTAGGCAAGCATAAAACCAAAGTCAATTTCTTACAATTTAGTAACCTCAGTACCAACCAATTATATTCTGGGACATGAGAAACAGCTGTTGTAACATTAGAGCCTGAACAGTTCCATCTCAGCTATTTAAAGGGATAAAAGAGCCAATATTTTCATTCCCTTGTGATATTATCAAGACATGATAAACAACCAAGACTATAGTATTAATTACATTAATTTGGAGAGGAGAGAGACCACTTTAATTGCTCCAAGCTGGAGAATAATTTTTTATGGACAGACAATCATTCCATAAATTCACATTAGAAAGGGTACTTTGTCTTTTTCTATCAGCAGCAAAACTTCTGGAGGCAAAACATAGCCACCACCCCCATTTAAGATGGATTTCAATAGAAAAAAAATTCTCACTGTTGCTATGTATTATTTATTGAACTCTGACATGTTGAGCTATCTGATAGAAACAAACGTAGGAAAGATATTTGTCTTGAAATAATTCATAATCTGAAGCAGGAAGTAGGATTAACACAGCTAGATTTAAATACTTTCTCATGTATAGAACGGACATAGAGTGTGCCACTGTCTCAGGGTTTAGAAGACCAAATAAATGATGGGCATGAAAATGCTTTGTAAGCTGTAAATCCCCTATAAGAGCAGAAAAGGAAAGAGAAATATCATGTATTGAATGCCTTATATATGGGGCACTGAGCCAGGTGCTTGACTTATATAATCATATTTTCATACTCATAAGAAATCTCAGAAAGAAAAATAAAATAATAAACACATAAAAAAGAATGTAGGAAATAGGTAATGAAAATGCCAATTTTTGTCAGTGTGGAAATTATCCAGATAAATTGTATGGCTCAGGTTAATTAATGGGATATGTGCTATAGGTATCCTCTCTCACCCCCAAATGCACAATATGTTGATTAATAAGTGGTCACATTCTGAAATCACTCGGGCGTATACTATAGTTTTGGTAATGAAAATATACCAAAGTAAATCTATCTGCTGAGATTCCTCAGATGAAAACCCACATTTGGCTTTGGTAGTTGCGATGGAAGGGGAGGATTTAAGATGGCTCCAGGAAGTAGCTCCTCAGAGCTGTTGAATGCAGCAAGCATCACTGTGGCTTTGGACTAGCCATTTGTAACTTCACACCCAGGGCACTCTGTCCAGGTTTCTAGAAGTACTACTTCTATGGACTCTTAATAAACACTGGTAACAGTGTTGTACTTTGCCAGGTTCCCCTGCTGATGCTGCAGAGCAGTCGTGAGGAATAGGTCTTCCAGTCCTTTGAATGCTCTGGAAACTTATTTGAGGATAAGAGCAATTCAACACTCCACTAGTAATACTCATACAAAGGAAGAAGGGCTTGGAAGCAATTGAGAGAACACGCTAAGATTGTGCATTCCTCAGTTGCTGGACCAAGGGACATGCTGTAAAGGAGATCACTTACTAGAGTGTGAAAAACTCTGAATATTGCAAAGTTCTGCACCATCCAATTCCTTTTTATGTAGAAATGTTTTCATAACTTAAATGTCCAATAGGGGATTGCTTGAGCAAAATGTGGAGCAACTATATGAACACAAAAAATCATGCAGTGAAACTGTATATCAATAAGAAATAATGTGTGAAATGCATCGTAAGAGAGGATTTGCAAAGAAGTATTGTTCAGTATTATCTCACTTTTATTCAAATATGTATAAATGTGAATGGAAAGATGTTTGAAATATATATGTGTGTGTATATATATATATAAAAAATCACTTGATAATGGAATTACAAGTTATTTTTTATCATTTCTTTGCTTATCTACATTTTTCTGAATTTTCTATAAGAACATGACTGGTAAAAATAAATTTTTTCTGAACAAGTGTTATTTTCATTAGCATCAGGATAATAATACATAACACTTATCGGACACTTACTACATACTACAGTACCAGTGTGCTACTCTTGCTAGGTCATTTCTCCTCACAATGGCATTATGAAGTCATTCTTTCATGAGAAGTATTCCCCAGCAAAGCAAATGAATCAACATTAATTGTAGAATCACATTTCTTTCTACTATTCCTCATTTGGAAATTCAGCTCTTCCTAACTTCCACCTATAGTCACCTGGGTGACTCAGTCTGTTGGGCCTCCAACTTCAGTTCACGTTGTGATCTCCCAGCTCATGGGTTCGAGACCCACATTGGGCTCTGTGCTGACAGCTCGGAGCCTGGTGCTTGCTTTGGATTCTGTGTCTCCCTCTCTCTCTGCCCCTCCCCTGCTCATGCTGCCTCTCTCTCTCTCTCAGAAAAAAAAAAAAAAAAAACAGACAATAAAATTAGGAAGAAGATTTGTGGAGGAGGATACTGGTATGGAAAAGGTGATGACTGTAGATATAGATACAACTATATGCTTATGTTGTCACAGAGTCCAGGTTATCTTAGCAAAATAGCTTCTTCTAAGTGAAGGCAAATAGAAAATACACAGATAATATTAAATTGCTTTCAAAGAAATACCTTGGGGAGCCTGGGTGGCTCAGTTGGTTAAGCAGTTAAGCATCTGACTCTTGTTTTCACCTTAGGTCATAATCTCAGTGTTGAGATTGAGCCCCACGTGGGCTCCACTCTGAGCATGCTTAAGATTCTCTCTCTCCCTTTCCCTCTTCCCCTCTCTCCCCTCTAAAGGAAAAAAAAAAAAAAAAAAGGAATACCTGTAGTTTAAATATACAAATGGGATGGAATAAGGTCTACTCAAAAAGCTAAACACCTTGTAGCCCTAAAAAGCAACTAGACCTCAAACTAGTAGATCTCCCAAGAGACCTCAAGCATGTTCATACCCAAATGATTCCCCCCAAAATACCATTTATTCTCATTTTTTGGTGCCCCCAAGGAGATGACAGTATGAACCAAATTTCTTTTGGGTTTGTTGATAACCCACTTGTAAAACCTTAATTTTCATAAACACATAAATAACTGCAGAAGAAACTATCTGTGGCCTATCCATTATCCATTTTTCTTCTCTGCTAATATAGTCCAAATTTTGTTTGGGTATTGAACAGTAACACGCTGGGGAAGCAGGCTTGGCTCTGATGGACTGTGTGCAGTCTAAGTCACTGTGCTGCTTAAGTTTGTGGCAACTTGACTGGGCCATGGGGTGCCCAGATATTTGGTTAAACTGGGAGTGTCTGTGAATGAAATTAACATTTGAACCAGTTGACTTAGTAGAACAGATGGGTCTTTCCGGTGTGGGTGGGCCTCATCCAATCCATTGGAGGCCTGAATAGGACAAAGAGGCAGAGTGAAAGAAAGTTCTCTGTGACTGTCTTCTCTTGTCTTCAGAACCAAACTGGACCTGTGACTGGGATGTACACCATTGTCTCTCCTGAGTCTCCCGCTTGCTGACTGCAGACAGTGGGACTTGCCAGCCTCAATAATCATGTAAGCCAATGTCTTATAACAGATCTCTTTGTAAGCAAAAATATAACATGTGTATATATAAGTATAAACATGTATCTTCTGTTGGTTCTGCTTCTCTGCAGAACCCAGATGAACCCAGCTAATCATGGTCATCATATTCTCTTTTGCTGGTGATTGGTAACCATGTACCTTGTTTCTTGTCAATGAAATAAAAGGAGATTGCTGGGGTGGGGTGGGAGGTTCTGGGACAAGTTTCCTCTTTAATAAGAAAGAGAGCAACACAGACAGAAGCTGCTCTCATTCCCCTTGCTTCATGCTTTTGGTTGGGGTTAAGTGAAGACAAAATGCCTGGAGCTGGGGTAGACATCCTGTATCATTATTGTAGATCTCACTGACACATTAAAAATGGCTGTGTGCCAGGGGTGCGGGTACCTGGCTGGCTCTGTCGGGGGAACATGTGACTTTCGATCTTGGGGCTGTGAGTTTAAGCCCCATGTGGAGCGTAGAGTTTAGTTTAAAAATTTTTTTCAGAAAAAAGAAAAATAAATATGGGAATCCAGAAAACCCCTGGATTCTTATTGATACTGCTGACCCGCTTCTCCCATCAATGCCAACTTCAGGCCCACCTGTTAAGTCAGAAGCTAGCGCTAAGACATTTCATGTAAGCCCCTTTGAGTTTGAATGTGCTGTTACTTGAATCGGCAACTAGCCAGAGAATGAAAAAATTGTAATTCTCTACTACTATCATATTTTGTTAATCTGTTTGTTAAAGTTTGCTCTTTATGTTAATTTCAGAATCAAAATTAGAAACTTCAAAAATGTATCATTTATTGTTTGTAAGACATGGAAAGCAGTCTCTGCAGGAGGAGAGGAAATGTATAGAAACGTAGATCCCTTCCACCGTGAAGTTGTGTTCACGTGGTTGGCTAGCCACACACCTGTGGTTGGAGAGGGCATGGGGAAAGGGAGAAGACTCCCTCTTTCTTCTTGACCATGGGGCCATCAAGGGCCATTTGGAGTTATTGAAGGAAAAATCATTTCAGCTTCTAAAGGGTAAAACTAGTTTTCTCTGGCAGTATAGTTTCATAGTAAATTTCCTCTTTTCTTGTCCAACAAGAGAAACCTTTATTTTAAAAAGTTTAAAGTGGGAAGCAGTTTACTGATGATATTGGCTATGAAACCAGAGGAGACACACACACACACACACAGCCTTGGGCCTTGGCAGCTTGCCTCCAAGCCCGGCCACCTTGGGAGACCTGGAGCAGGGCCAGGAAGATGTCTGGGATGCAGGACTTGGTGGCCAGGAGGCCACTCCATTACTGGAGGCACACTCATTCTGGGACAGCTAATGACCTCTCCTTAGAGCCAAATAAATTGAACACTTGGGTGAAGAATTTAGTCTTGAAAATAAGCCCTCGCTAGTAGTAAACCTAGTGAGAATGAGGCAAATGGGTTTACAGAAATAACGTAGTAGTTCTAAATGTGTGCCACCTCCTACTGATGCTAAGCAACACTGAAAAATGAGTGAAAATCAACTTACTATAAAGAAAATACCATTCCCCTATCAGCCTGTATCATTTCAAAGATGATTTATCAGGCTAATTAATTTTCAGGTGGTATTTGTTTCCAGCCCTGTAAAAACTTAACTTAAAAATTGCCTTTTCTCAGGGCGCCTGGTGGGCTCAGTTGGTGGAATGTGAGATTCTTGATCTCAGGGCTGTGGGTTTGAGCCCCACATTGGGTGTAGAGATTACTGAAAAATCTTTTAAAAAATTCTTTTCTCTTCCTAAGCTCTTAGTAAATTTGCATTATATTAAATTAGGGATTCTCTGCATTCATTCATCCAACACAAATTTAGGGAGCAGTTAACAATGTGCCAGGGCGCTGTGCTAGGTGTCCAGGAATCCGGTGAAAAATGGATCATGCTAGTCCTTGTGAAGCTAACAGCCTTCTGAAGCTCCTGGTGTGTAAATCAGCCGTTACTACAGAATTTTGGGCAAGGAATGAACAGAGTAACTGACTTTCCTGATAGAAACATCCCAGACAACATAATGTTAATGATCTGATTTAAGGCCATACTGCTGCACACACACCAATGTCATACGCACATAATACGTGTAATATTTTTATGGTTTGCTGGAAATCGATTTATGGTTTAGGTAGGAATGAAGGGAGGCACTAACTTGGGGATAACTTGCTTGCATTTTAAAGAGACTCCCTCCCTGGCAATCTCAGGCACATTACCCTGAGTGCCTCCCTGAGAAAGGCTGGTGTTGAAAACAAGCCTGGAAGGCTCAGAGACTCCGAGACCCAGCCGTGGATGTAGTGGGAGTGGTAGAATGCACCAGAAGCTGTCAGAATGTGACAAGAGGGCATTTATTTTAAGGGTGTGGGGAGCAAAATAAATTAGACTGCAATTGGATTCTTCAGTCAGAGGCAGGAGTTGAGAGGTGCACTGTGCTTGTGTGAAGAATTTTTTTTAAAGAACACCCAAGTGGAGAACAAGGAGATATAATTTTTCTTGACGCGCCAGTGTACAATAAGAACATATATTTAGTAACATTTGCTTCCCTGCACCCTGAGCAGCTGTTCGGCGCCTGCACACGCTCCACTTCCAGGCAGGCAAGGGGGAGCGTGCAGCTCACGAAGTTTCTGGAGTTGCGGGAGCTGAGGCCCTGGTCCTGGAGCTGCCTTCTCCCGCCTCTTCCTGGCAGCGGTGTGGGGCGGGGGCTGCTAAACAGGGCCTGGGGTTGGGAAGCAAGAGCAGTTGCTCCAGGGCAAGACCAATTGGAGAGCACAGTTTAACTTGGGCAGGAAGAGCAAGTCTGATTGTATTTGGCCATCACTGTTTGGTCAAGCTCTTAAAGACCCCAGTGGGGTTAAAGGGTTGCCCTTGCAGTGTACTTTCTTAAACGCAGGGAGCAGGAAAGGGAGGCTCTAAAATAATCCCTCTTTGCTCTGTGAGACTGTAGCTCACTAGGTAGGGTTTTTGGCTGTCAGGGAAATGTTTATATCCCTTGACATAGGACTGTATGAGGTAGAAAACAGGATGTATCCACTTCAGGTCAGGCCATCCTTATCCAAGGAGTGACACCGTGGACATCTGGTTTTCTAGGTTTGTAGTCAACTTCTTGGCACTTTTTCACAGAGCCTAGTGGGTACTGGTGGCAGCGAGGACTGGAGAGAGACCTGGGTAAATGCAGTATCAGGGTAGGTATCCGTTGGTTTGCCCATTTCCTCCCTCCCAGCCTCTCTTCCTCTCTCCCGAATAGCACCCTGGTGCTACTCAAAGTGTGGCCCTCTACTGCTGCATCATCATCTCTTGAGAACTTGGTAGAAATACAAACTTGTGGGTCCCACACCATACTACCGTGGTAGGCAATGTCTAAGACAAGGCAGGATGTTGCTTCCTAGAGGAGGTTACAAAAAGACTTGGCTACAGTCCTGGGTGCGCTCTCTCACTCACTCACTTTGAGAGAAGCCACCTGTCATGCTGTGAACAGCCTTTTGGGGAGGCCCATGTGGCAAAGAACTGGCATCTTAGGCCAATAGCCAGTGAAGACCTGAGGTCTGCCAACAGCCGTGTGAGTGAGCGTAGAATTGGAGCTTTCCTCATCAAGCCTTGAAACGACAGCAACCCCTGACCTCCTGATGGGAGCCTTGTGAAAGACTGAGAGCCAGAGAATCCCACTCAGCTGTGCCTGGATTACTGATTCACAGAAAGTCGGAGATAATAAACATGTGCTGTTTTAAGCCTCTACTTTGGGTTAATTTGTTATGCAGCAACAGAGCCTAACACAACTACTGAATCAGAAACCTCTGTAAGTGGGGCCCTGAAATGTGTATTTTAACATGTTCTTCAGTTGATTTTCATGCCTAGTAGTTTGAGAAGCATGGCTGTGACTAAGTTAACAGCTGTAGCAGAGGGGAGGGACTTTGGCATTAGCCTGTCTGGGTTCAGGTCCTAGCTCAACTCCTTCTGGCTGTTAGAGCTATGTGGGTTACGTAATCTCTCTGTGCCTCCATGGCTTCTGTGACGTGTTGCTAACAGTACATATCTTTAGGTAATATAAAGAAGGTTAGTTGAGTTAACATATTAAAGCACTTAGCATATTGCCTGGCAACAGTGAGTACAATAAATTTAGTGAAGATTCATTCATTCAACAAACATGTAAAGGGTCAGGCATAATTTTAGATGCTGGTTACAAAGATAATAAGACAGTCTGCTTCTTTGGGGACTATTGTCCTATAAGGGACATAGGCATATAGAAGAATAAACACAAAAATGGCTTAAAGATGCTGGGATTAACTTCTGGAGCCCAGAAATGTCAGTTCTGTCGTGGATAAAGGCATTAAGAAGAGGCTTAATAAATGCGGTGGTTGGAGGGTTGGAAAAGAATAGAAGATATGGGCTTCATTCTCCCCCAACCTCTCGCCTCAGTTTTCCTGAGCTCCCTTTTTTTCTTTTTATGTATGGAAAACTAACAAACCTATCATCACAAACAGGTTCCTTTGGCAGAAGCTGCTTGAATGCAGGACCTGGGTGTGTTATTCACGAAGTTCCAGCCCCTTGGTCCTGTTTCCTGCGCCTACATCAGGCAGCCCAGTTTATCTGACCTTCAGATGTTGGCATCTGCTCTTCAGCCCTCTGAAGGCTTCTCTTCCCACTCCCTCTCCCACTCCTCTCAGTCCTTGCAAGTCCTTCCTCTGTGGGCTTCAATACCTCCTCAAGGAAATCTTCCTGATCACTCTGCTTAAATAACGCCTCCATTTTACGGTACTTTTCGTTTCCTGAGCAGCACAAGAATTTGGCATTTACTTAATTTGTTTATTTTCCTGCTCCCATCCTCTCCCTGAGTAGACTTTACTCTAAGGGCTAACAGGTGGCCCATTTTCCTCACATGGTGCATGCCCAGTGCCCAATGCCCTCCCTGGGACATAGTAGGCATTCAATAAATATTTATTGAGTGGATAAATGAATGAATGAACATGTCCTTTCCCAGCCACTGGAACACTTCAGCATGATTTGCTGAAATGTCAATCTTAATCATGAAGGACATTAATTTAAATTCTGGGAGACAAAACTGCTGAAAAAACAGAATGTGAAACCAAGTCACTTTTACTCTAAGGGGCTGCTGGGGAAGTGGTAAGGGGTGGGGGTGTGGGAGGCCATTATGCCATTTAACATTTACTAAGTCCCTCCTCCTAGGTGCTGGGCACTGAATTGTTTTATATGCATTATTTCGTGTACATCTGAAGTAGTTATTATTCGGAGGGGGGGGGATGATGGGGAAACTGAGGCTTAGACCCCTTTATGAACTTGCCTAAAGTCACAGCCAGTCTAGTGTAGAACCGTAACTGAATCCAGGTGGCCAGATTCCAAAGCTCTGGTGTTCAATGACTCCACTCCCCTGCCTCCAAAGGAATGCAGCTCATTAAGTAAATATTCTGCACAAATAGAAGTGTATACAGTTGAACGACTAGAAGACCAACACTGTAATACCAGACCAGACAGGGAAATCTCAGAAAGGTTCTCCAGGTCACAGCCAGGAGACAGTATCCACGATTAGGATTACGGGAACTGGGCTGTGGGCCAAGCGGGAGCTCATTCTCCCCATCCAGGGCTCCTCCATGTGGTCAGGACTGCATTAGGGCACCCCCCACCCGGGTGATGTGAGTGATCTGGCCCTCAAAAGCAGATCTGGTGGTCTCTTCTTAAACTCAAAGGGATTAGCATTCTCCTTGTCAAAGCAGCACGGAATTTACAGCAATTGGCAGTTTCTGTTGCCAAGAATTCCAAGATCGGACAAGCCAAGGCAGGGTGATAGGTCAGATGTGAGATTAGATGGAGAGGCTGTCAGGGGTGGGGTCAGGTGGGGTTGAGGACAAGAAGTAGTGGGGAGGGGAAGTTTTACAAAGCAGTGAGGCCTGTCTGCATTGCGCCTGGAGAAGTCTTTGACTAGGGGTTCCCATTAGCAACAAGTCCCCACAGGCCTAAAAGAACAAGAAAGGAACCAGGCTTCTCCAGGCTTAAGTAGGACTAAAGTCTGCATTTTTCCCTGCATGATAAGGAATTATTGGGCCAGCAGCTAAGGTAGGCTAACTCAGGCTAAAATCCCCAGTAAGGGAGAACAATTAGAGAAATCATGGATCACGCTTCTGTGGGCAATTCCCTTCTCAAGGCGTACTTCAAGCCAGAAGGTATATTTGTAGTCTGCTTTTGTGACATTTAAATATTCAGATTTAAAGAGAGACGAAGCTCATACTGAAATTTACATATAAATGTATCAAACTGTGTTTAAATACTAGTCTTCTTCACAACTTTCTCTTATAGTTCCTGAGCTGTCTGCACTTCCACAATGTGACCAGTCTCTGGGAAATGAAGAATACAAGTGTAAAGAGACAGAAATTGAGCTAAAATTACTGGGAGGTTGATGTCCTAGGGCGGACCTAAAGTTATGTAGAGTTTATAATTAGAGGAATGGTTTTGTTTGTTTAGAATGTAAGTTTTCAAAATGAGTCTCCAGACATGCAGAATTTTGTAGATGTAGGTATGCGTTTTTACTTATTTAGAAAGGCTATAGTCTCTGAAATTGGCCTGAAGACTTCCTCTTAAGACCTCAAGAATCTAGGCTTCATAGAAACAGAAGAAATTCGATCAGACAGCCTTGGAGCATCCAAGACAGCATTTGATGTTTATTTGTTTGTTTTAGAGAAAGAGGGAGTGCACACAAGTGCAGTCGGGGAAGGGACAGAGAGGTATTCCCAAGCAGGCTTTGCACTCTCAGCGCAGAGCCCAACATGGGGCTTGGACCCACAAACTGTCAGATCTTGACCTGAGCCTAAATCAAGAGAGTCAGACACTCAACAAACTAAGCCACCCAGCACCCCTCCCCACAATGCAGCATTCAAATAACTACCTCTAGAACCCATCTTATACACTGTGCTAATAACAAGCTACCACATGGGGCGCCTGGGTGACTGAGGTCTGTGCACAGAGCCTGCTTGGGATTCTCTCTCGCACCCTCTCCCTCTGTCCCTTCCTTACTTGCATGTTCTCATGTCTCTCTGAAAATAAATAAACTTAAAAAAAAAAAAGTTAGCCCATATACTATACATAGTTCACTAACTTTAATTTTTGGCAATCATGAAATACACTTAAATCACTGAAATAGGACTAGACTTGGTATAATCTCCCTCCAGCAAGTTGGCAGTTATGATCCTACAGGGTGTCACAGTTACCATTATGAACATCAGGAATTATTGTTGCATAGTAACCCAGAAGTGCCGGGTGATTAAAAAAAAATTCTGCTGACAGAGGTGAAGACAAATTTGATTCTACTGGGTATCAGAAGTTATAAAAAGAAAAAAAAGGAGGGGGTCAAGGAGCATTGACAGACTACTGCATAATAAAATGTGTTACAGTCTAATGGGAAACATTGGCTAGAGTAGTGGGTGACTTCCTGATTTCATCACCTTCCATAGTTGACATTTCCATCTCTCATTTTCTCTCAGTTACCCATCTATTAAACAGATCCATACACGTTAATAAGAGCCCACACAAATTTAGCCACTTCTTCCTCTAGTAAATTACACTATAGATCCAGTTTTATTGTGATCGTTTCTTTCCATGTCTTGTTTTTTTGAGTCTGTAGAAGGCAAAGGCTGTGTGGTACACACATTGCTAACGGGATGAAAGTCTGGAGAAAACAGAAGATACCCAGACAAGCTAGCAGGGCAGAATGTCTGTGTCTTCCACCAGGGGTCAGTAAAACTTTTATAAGACTCCTAGGATGGCACCCAGATTTCTCTAAGGGCAACATCTTGGTCACTCTTTGTCCCTCAGAAAGCATTCACCAACAGGAGCCTGTCCTGTCACTGGGAGTAGCAGTTCAAGTTGTTAAACACGTACCAAAGGCACAGTTAAATATAAATATATATGGCTTGGACTGTATCAACTCTTTGTTGATTAGCATTGGAGCTTGATTCTCATAAAGAGAATTCTCAATTTAAATGTGCGGTTTTGATATATGCTAAGGCAAGCTATCTTGCCTAATTATCAATCACAGGCTAAGTGTCCAGTGACAAGGCCTATGGCTCGACTCTGATTGTCATCGTTTCTGGGTCATGAACAAAAGACTTGACATTCTCCTTCCCTTCCTGGCTTGCTATCCTGGTTTGCAGTGGTTGTTATCCTAAGGAATCAAGACTATCAGAAATATGTACTAGGTACACTAACTTGACTCCCTGCTTCCACTTTTGCCCTTCCGTCAGCTAGAGGGAGCTGTGAAAAAAATGGAGATCGTATCACATCACTCCCCTGCTTAAAGTCGCCAAGGCCTACCCCACCCCACAGAAAATAAAATGCCAACACTTCACCCACCTGCAGTGCCAGGCACGCTCAATTTCCTGCAGTTTCTCTGATCTCATCTCCTGACCTTCTTCCCTGCATTCAGCACCCTCCCGAAACAGTAAGCTTTCTGCTGATGCGCTCACTCAGTGGTTCTCAAAGTATGGTCCCTGGATCTGCAGCGTCAGCATCACCTGGGAAGCTGTTGGAAAGGCACATTCTTGGGTCACACCCCCAGATCTACTGGATCAGAAAACTCTGGGGGCAGGCCCCGGCCATCTGTGTTTTCACCAACCCATCTGGTGATTCTGATAACTGCTGAGGTTGGAAAACCACCTCTAATTTTTCAAACTCACTTTGCCTCCAGACCTTTGTACTAGCCAGACACTTTCCCTGATACACTCTTCCCAGGGCTCTTTCCTCATCAATGAGATGTCAGCTGAAATGCTAGCGCCTCAGAGAGACTTTCATCAGTCACCTACTTAAGGTGAGCTTCCCTGCTCTCCTTCATCCTACCCTATGCCCTAATCCTTTGATTAGAACTATTTGAAATTATCTGGGCTATTTATTTATTTGCTCTTTTATTATCTCCCCATCAGAATGAGAGCAGCCACCTTATCTACTTTTTATACCGTGGATCTCAAGTGTCTACAAGCGTGCCTTGTACATAAGAAGTTCTTAATAAAAGTGTCTTAAATTAATGTCTATGAGATTTTTTTTTATCAGGGTGACTTACAGAAAGGAGATAAATTAGACTCTCTAAACGGAGCTGCAGTGTTGTGGTATAGCCCAGGGATGGAGTCAGAAGATGAAAGTCAAATTCTCAATTCTCCACTTGAAAATCAACTGACCTTGGGTAAGTCATTTAACTAGATTAGGTGATTTTGCCTCGTACGGGCAGTTAGCAACGTCTAGAGATGTTTTTGGTGTCAACCAGAGATGCAGGTGGGGCGGGGGGACTGCTATTGGCATCTGTTTGGTAGAGGCAGGGATGTGGCTAAACATCCTGCAGTGCATCGGCCAGCCCCCTGCAACAGAGAAGCCTGCCTATGTCTGGCACCATGCCTTACACAGCATAGATGCTCAAAAAGTATTGGTCAGTGAATGAATGGATGAAAGGATGAATGAATGAATGAATTTCCAGGAGTCCCTTCCCAAGATTGAGTTTTTGTTTTCTGATTTGTGACAGAGAATAAGGATAGTACTTGTGCCCTGGGAAACTTGTGAGGATCACAGAGACCATGTATATAAAGTAGCTGCCTCAGGATTTGATACATCCATGGGAGAATTGCCCTTGTTTGGTCTTTGGTCCATTTTCCTGCTTGGCTGCCCTGCCCTGCAGAGGCCTGATGGAGCCTCTCACTTCCGCTTCAATTTTCCTTACCTTTTCAGTGGAGGTAAGTCTAAACAGGGCATCTTTGACTGTTTCAGATGGAAAGGGATCACGGAGTCCTACCCTGTGTTTTCCAGATGGAACCCTCAAGGCCTAGTATTCAGAAACCGTATGCTCCAGGCTTCCCCGAGTTTCCTGGCTCCTGTTTCCTCGTTGGGCTGTTTTCCACTCCTTCACAATGCCCCAACTCTTTTCAGCCATCTTTTCCCATCTTCTGCAACCAGTCCATCAGCATGTAGCCAACAGGGGCTCCAGCCTTTTTAGGAGCTAGGTATACTTACTGTCAAAGACCCCACCACACATCACCAAAACATGATGTGTTTTGGTGCCCACATCAAATTTAAGAAAAAAGTGTATAACTTTATGAAGATTGGATTGCCTTACCAGTCAACTGTAAAGTTACATTTTAGAGAATTTAAATATTTGTTAAGTTCAATATTTTAGTTTGTTTTCCCACTGTGGAGTCAATTTTTTTCTCTTATAGAAAATATAATTGTCGACCCTTGAAAAGCATTTATGCCTTTGGTGCTTGTACATTTAAAAAATCTTCTTTGCTTTTTGTCCATTGGTGAGTTTTCCTTCTTCCCTTTTCCTGTTTGCTTACAACAGTCAGTGACCATCCCAGAGTCTATAAAGCATCTGGAAACTCTTGTGTTTGGTAGGTGATATTTCACGTATTTAATGCTGTCAGCATGGAAACATGATCTCATGCGCTTGTGTCTGTATCTGTCCTAGAGTGTGATGACCAGACCTTACATTTGCTATGTGCATTGTGGGCTGCAGAAAGCTTTCTCATACATTATCCATTTGTTCTCATTTGATTCTCACAGTGGTCCAGTGAGCTGAGCATGACAGTTACTCCTGATTTCACCAATGAGAATCCAAAGCTTCAAGGTTATGGAGTTGACGGAGCCAAGATGAGAATCCACATCTTCTGGGTTTCGTGTGTGCCTTGCTATTTTCAGCTGGGGGAAAAAATTATTCCTGGAAGAGGAAATTAAGCAAGACTTGAATAGTGGGATAGCTGGAGGGGTGTGTGTGTGTGTGTGTGTGTGTGTGTGTGTGTGTGTTTTACAATAGAACTCTAGCCTTGAACATTCTCTGTTTGCTCTATATACAATGGGGTCAAATTAATTAGCTCAACAAATAACTTTTTTAGTGATGGGCATTGTTGTGGGTGCTGGGGATATAATAGAGAACAAAAATACCACATCCTTGCCTCATGGAGCTCACATTCTAGATACAATGGATAAATGATAAATTAACAATCAACATATAGTATGATAGATGTTGATTATCATTAAGGAAAAAAAAGTGGGGGTGACAGGGTAGGAAAACGAGGGAAGGATTGCTGTTTTATTTAGGGAGGTCAGAAGTGGCCTCAACAGTAAAGTTGCATTTGAGGAGAGACTGCAAAGAAGTGATGGAGTGTGCCACGTGGACACTGGGGACAGACTGGCAGAGCCGAGGGTGTGCAAAGGCCTTGAGGCAGGACCATGTTGGGTACATATGAGAAACACCAAGGAAGCCAGTCTGGCTGGAGAAGAAAGACTAGACTGGGATGGGGGGAGTGTTATTAGCAGGAAATGAGACAGGCATCTGGGGAAGAGATCTAAGACAGATCAGATCCTGAAGAATCTTACTTACATTATGAGGGCATGTGGGCTTCGGGAGACAGAGATGCCTTAAGGCCTTTGACCAGAGGCATTACACAATCTGACATACAATGTTGGAGGATTTATGTTGCACTGATTTGCCCTCTGTTAAGATATTCCTGGTTTGTAATTTTTCTGCTGTGAGCAAGAGACTTAGTCCTGCCGCGGCAGGGCAGGGTGGGCTCTCCTTTCAAGTGTGCTCCAGTGGTGAGGTTGAATTTTAGTAATTCATTCATCATTCACATCAGTGACTGTGCTCTACCCATGTGCCAGGAACGTAGGCTTTGGGGACTGGGGAGTGAGGAAGACAGACAGGGCCCCTGCTCTCAGGGAGCTTCTCTCACAGTGAAGAAATACAGACAGTAAACAAATGAACAAATAAAAGATTTCAGCTAATGAAAAGCGCTAGGGAGAAAATAAAACGGGGAGATGTAATGATGCCATTTGCAGGGGCTACTTTAGATTTCAGTTGGATTTTGAAATGTGGAACTTGGGCAAAAAATGTTACACGTGTGGAGCAATTTACAGTTTACAAATTCAAAGAGCCTGCCCCCACCCCCCCCCAAGATGTTATTACTCTGACTTTTTAATTGAGAAACTGAGAAGTGAGATTAGGCCACATGCCCAAGGCACTAGTAAATGGCAGATTTGGGGTCTGAATCCAAGTTTTTTCTAACTTTCAGTACCAAAATGCTTCTCACAACATACATCACTGTGAAACAGACAGTAGGGCTGGATAACCCCGGTACAGGGGAGGAGGGAATCGGCAATGCTTAGTTAAGACAAGAAACGCGTGGGGCACCTGGGCGGCTCAGTGGGTTAAGCGTCTGACTTCGGCTCAGGTCATGATCTCACGGTTCGTGGGTTTGAGCCTCGCGTCGGGCTCTGTGCTGACAGCTCAGAGCCTGGAGCCTGCTTCAGATTCTGTGTCTCCCTCTCTCTGACCCTCCCCGCTCACACTCTCTCTCTCACAAATAAATAAAAACATTAAAAAATTAAAAAATAACAAAAAACAAAACGTGTGCCAAAGCAGGAAGAGAATGCAAAAGAATAAGAATGGTCGCTGGCTCCCCCTAAGGTCACGTAGGACACCTGGTAGCATATAGAGGAGCTAAACTCCCCCACACACCCAACTTCTCATGGAGCCCAGATAATCCGCATCCTGATCTCAGCAGAAGGATCCCTGCCTCAGATGGCCGCTCTCAGGCTCCCAACCCCAGGCTGGGGAGAGCCCAGGGTCACATATGGTTTCAATCACTGCATTTATCTGCATCATTGTCATATTTGGAAGATGACTGGACCCTCATTTCTGTCCCAGCCCTCTCCGAATTGTGCAGGGGGTACAAATCAAATCTGGAAAAGCTAGCTCATCAGAAATAGGGAGAGGCTTCGGGAATGTACAGTAATGTCCCACCCATGCCCCTTCCCCCCTTTATTAAAACAAATCTGAAACAACAAATGTCTAAAATTTTCCACTGGGTCATTTCACCCTGCCTTGTTATAACCATGCCCTTCGTCCACACCCTGCTCAGAGTTTTTGCAGCCTGAGGGAAGCCGGGAAGCATCTGTCCCTAGCTCCCAGTCACTCCCATAATAAACAATCACAAAACAGCTTGCTGCCCTAGGCAACTCTTTGTCCAGCTCGGCCAGACCCTGTGGACTTCAGCGAGGGAAGAGGGCGGGAGATGTTCTCTGGAGAACAGAAGTCGGGGCTCTGAGGCCAGGAAGCTCGCTTTGACCAGAAACCTCGTCTGGGAGCTCGCACATCTTCGTGGGCCTGGAGGACACCTCCAGAGAGATCGCAGGTCTTCATCTGCGCCGCCTAGTGAAGTTCCCTGGGGGAAGCTGGAGCTAGGGGCCGCAGGGTGGGTGGGCAGTCGAAAGAACGTCCAACCATCTTGCACTAACTGGAAATAAGGTCATTTCCTGCCCCAAGCTTCCCTTCCACAGCTGGGACAGTTGGCAGTGCTACTAGTCATCCATTCCTAGGAGACGTCTCCTTAGAAACCAGCACCCCGCCACTGCAGAGAGGAGAACATCCCGTTAGTTAGGGACTGGGACCGGCTGGAATTTACCAGTTCCTCCTTAACCGTTAGAAAATCTTTTCTTCACCGTGATCGGATCTCTTGGAAGCTTTCTACAGAACAGACGTCGAGGGAATAGACGTCGAGGCTTCAGGAAGCAAGGAAAGGACGTGCACGTAATGAGAATTCAGAATAGGTGTCTTTTCTCAGCACAGAAACAGACATGAATTGCAACGACTCCTCTTGATTAGAATATTTTCGCTTTAGTTGGGGGAGCTGGGGTGTGTCCTTGGGGTAAGAAAAAGCAAAGATGGGCGATGCAGGGAATAAGGGACCTGCTTAAACGCTCGGTAGGAAATTAAAATACTGGTCCTCAGAGGGTGGAAGGTGGGCGGGGAGAGGCTTCCTTCGGGCCGGCGGCCGCGTTCTTTGAAGTCTCTCTCCCCTCCCCCTCCCTCGGGCTCGCCTCACCGCTCCGTTTTCGAGCGTCCTTCCCCAGGAACCCGCACACTCCCTGCCGTCTGCCCGGGGAGGCGGTCCCGGCGGGCAGCCCAGAAGACGGGGCTTACGGGGGCGCCCGGGGAGAGCCGGCCGGTGCCCGCTTCCCCGGCGGCCGCGCGCCCTCGGGTGCCTCTGGGCGGCGCTGGCTCCCGGCGTGGCGGCTGCAGGCGGCGCGGCCCAGGCCCGGCTCTCGGCCCGGGCGCCCTCTGGGCCCGCGGGGCTCACGCCGGCCCGTCCCCGCGCTCCGCCTGCCGGCCGCGGCCGCGGCCGAGGCGCCCCGGGGCCCCCGCGCCCCCGCGCCCCTCGCCGCGCCGGCGCCTCTGCCGGCGGCCGGGGGGTTATGAATGGGCGCAGCGGAAGCACCGCCCCCCCCGGACGTGACGCTCGGCCAATGGCAGCGCGGGCTGCGTGGATGGATGAGGTCAGCGCTGTCGTGTCGGGAATGGAATGTGTAAGTGTAACATTCAGAACCGGGTAACATTCGGCGACCGAACGCGGCGGTCGGCGGCGATCGCGCGGGGGCCTGCGAAGCGCCGCTCGGGGCCGGCACTGCCCGCGGGGAGGACGCGCCGCCGCCGTCGCCCAGCGCCGCCGCCGCCGCCTCCAGCCGGGCCGCCGCGCGTCCCGGGGGCCGGCCCCGCGAGCGCAGGAGTAAACACCGCCGGAGTCTTGGAGCCGCTGCAGAAGGGAATAAAGAGAGATGCAGGGATTTGTGAGGTTACGGCGCCCCAGCTGCAAGATGCACTAGCCGGCTGAACCCGGGGATCGGCTGACTTGTTGGAACCGGAGTGCTCTGCACGGGAGTGTGGATGAGTTGAAGTTGCTTTCCCGGGGCTCGTTTTCCACGCTGCCGAGAGGAATCCGAGAGGCAGGGAAATCACTTCGTTTTGCCATTGATTGGGCATCGGGAGCTTTTTTCCCCCCCCTCTCTTTCTTTTCCTCCGTCTTGTTGCATGCAAGAAAATTACAGTCCGCTGCTCGCCCGCCCTGGGTGAGGAATATTCAGCCCCGCTTTCTCCCGTCCATTGTGCAACCCAAAGATGAAAGACCGAAGGGGAGAAAGTTAAAGAAATCGCCCACATGCGCTGGATCAGTCCACGGCTTGGGGAAAGGCATCCAGAGAAGGTGGGAGCGGAGAGTTTGAAGTCTTTACAGGCGGGAAGATGGCGGACTGGAGCTGAAAGTGTTGATTGGGAAACTTGGGTGATTCTTGTGTTTATTTACAATCCTCTTGACCCAGGCAGGACACATGCAGGCCAAAAAACGCTATTTCATCCTGCTCTCAGCTGGCTCTTGTCTCGCCCTTTTGTTTTATTTCGGAGGCTTGCAGTTTAGGGCATCAAGGAGCCACAGCCGGAGAGAAGAGCACAGCGGTCGGAATGGCTTGCACCACCCGAGTCCGGATCATTTCTGGCCCCGCTTCCCGGACGCTCTGCGCCCCTTCGTTCCTTGGGATCAGTTGGAAAACGAGGATTCCAGCGTGCACATATCCCCCCGGCAGAAGCGAGACGCCAACTCGAGCATCTACAAAGGCAAGAAGTGCCGCATGGAGTCCTGCTTCGATTTCACCCTTTGCAAGAAAAACGGCTTCAAAGTCTACGTGTACCCGCAGCAAAAAGGGGAGAAAATCGCCGAAAGTTACCAAAACATTCTAGCGGCCATCGAGGGCTCCAGGTTCTACACCTCGGACCCCAGCCAGGCGTGCCTCTTTGTCCTGAGTCTGGATACTTTAGACAGAGACCAGCTGTCACCTCAGTATGTGCACAATTTGAGATCCAAAGTGCAGAGTCTCCACTTGTGGAACAATGGTAGGAATCATTTAATTTTTAATTTATATTCCGGCACTTGGCCTGACTACACAGAGGACGTGGGGTTTGACATCGGCCAGGCGATGCTGGCCAAAGCCAGCATCAGTACTGAAAACTTCCGACCCAACTTTGATGTTTCCATTCCCCTCTTTTCTAAGGATCATCCCAGGACAGGAGGGGAGAGGGGGTTTTTGAAGTTTAACACCATCCCTCCTCTCAGGAAGTATATGCTGGTATTCAAGGGGAAGAGGTACCTGACAGGGATAGGGTCAGACACCAGGAATGCCTTATATCACGTCCATAATGGGGAGGATGTGGTGCTCCTCACCACCTGCAAGCATGGCAAAGACTGGCAAAAGCACAAGGATTCTCGCTGTGACAGAGACAACACGGAGTATGAGAAGTAAGTGGCTTAGCTGGCGGGCCCTGCCCACCTGGGCCAGGTGTGAGGTTGGGGGATGGGGCCGGGCAGACGGGCCCTCTCTGAGCCTGCGACTGAGCAGCCCTGGCTCTGGCGTGTGACCAGGAGCTGGGGACCCAGAGTTGGATCTGTTCAGGCCAGCGGAAAAGCCCGGAGCACTTTCATGGGCCAAGTAGGCGCTCCTGTCTCCCTCTTGCTTGGAAACCCTTCAGGGCGATGTGTCTCCTGTGAAAGGTGTGGGTTTCATCCAAGTTTGGAGACCGCTTCTCCAGTGGGTACAGGAGGGTGTTTGTGAGGAGGTCTAGGGACCCCGAGGAGGCTCTAAATCTACCCACAGTCTGGAAACCTTCCCTCCCAAGATTGATATTTTATTTTATTTTTTTTTTCTCACAAGCCGGCGGAGGGTGGGGGGGGGGAGCGGGAGTACAGTTTTCCTGGGGATTTCCCAGCCTCCAATTGTCAAATTTCCGTAAGCCTTAAATTTATGTTAGTGGTGGAAGTGTTTTAATTTTAGCTACTAAACTTTCGTGCCTGGCTCTTCCCTACCCTCTGGAGCATTGGCCTCTGTGAAGGGAAACCTCAAACTGATCTGGGCCTGAGATCTTTCATTCATTCATTCATTCATCCATCCATCCATCCATCCATCCATCCATCCATCCATCCATTCATGTGTCTGTGTCCTGTCTCCTTCCTAGGAAGAAGCTGATTTTAAAATAAGGGCCTCAGCCACACTGCTGTAAACTCCAGTTGCTAATTTAGATTTTCCTTTCCCTTTTGTCTTTATTATTTGCATGTAAATCGGAGACTGTTACTCTTTGAATGGATGTGAGATGCCTCCTTACCCTCTGTAGTGAGGCAAGTTTTGTCTAGTTGCTAAGTAACTGAGTTGTATACTTTGTAGCCTTTCTCTCTCTTCCTTTTCCTTCCAGGGACAGTAACCCACATGAGGGATTTGAGGTCAAAGCTAGTTTCCACAAACCTGCTTTAACCTGAGCGTTGGCAGCCAGTTCCCGAATAGATGGGGTGGGAGCCCCAGACTCTCACTTGCATCTGGCTGAGAAAGAGTTAGTGAGCTCCTACGGTGCATTTCCACGTTACGCCAGTTAAAAACCAGAGCAGCCTTGTGCTACCCAGGGAAGGAAGGGGAACCTCTCAGCAGAGGTGCAGATTTTGCAGTCGATTCATGAAATGCAGAAGAGGGGAAACGCTTCGCAAACCTGATTGGCACGGGAAGGGCTATGGTGGGGAGGCAGCCCTGAAAATGAAAAGTTTGATTGTTGTCTGTGGATTTCCTCAGACACTCAGGCCTCTGTGGGAGTGATTGGAAGGGAAATTAAAGTCCTCCCATCCTCGATCATAGACAGTGAAGAAGAAAGTATCAAACACTCGGATTCCCCAACCCCCAACACCTCTTGCTTTCCAAGCATAAGAGAAAGCCCGAGGCCAGGGTTAATTATGAATCTGTATTTCCCTCTTCTTCAGGGACAGTTGTGTGTGAATGTTGGGTGCAGTCGCAATGAATTAAAATTTTCTCACAAGGGAAAACTAACTATGGTTAGTAATAAACTGCTTTGTTTCCACGACATTTACATTGACCTGTTCCTGTGGATGCTTGTAAGAAAAAAAATGCTTATAGCCTTTCGGGAATTTCTTTGTCTGGCTTATGGTGGAGTAACTGGAGATGAAGTCTAACCCTTTGGTGTCTTCTAAAGCCGTCTCCCCGAATTTTGTGCAAGGATCTCAGTGGTCCTCATTCTTTCAGAGGAGCTGGAGCTGAGTTATCAGTTTAGGAAGTCTGAATTGTACATTTCTTTGGGAAACACTCTCAGTCCCAGAAAACAATCATCTTCTTTACCTTCTTCTTCCCCCAAATAAATACTAAATCTCTACATTCTCTGCTGAAGCTTTTTCCAGAGCTTGGCAATGAAGGAAGGAAGGATTGGTTTCCTAGAACCTCTAATTTTTGCCAATTAAATTTAACTAATTTTTTTTACCTCTTTGGGATGGGGCCAGGAAATCTGACACCCACACTCTTGTTTTGGTTTATGTTTAAAGACCACAAGGGGCCAGGCCCTCAGGATTGAGTCTCATCTGAAAAGTGGCGTTTAGTTGGGAAAGCAAGTTTTGCTCTTTCTCCCGAGCAGGGATTTCTTCAGCAGAGTCACTTCTGGATGCTTTACGTGTTCCCCTTTGGCACACTTTCCAGCTCTAACCTTGTTCAGTAGGACAGGATGCTGCAGTAGAACATTTATGTTCATTAGCCTGGTCTATCTGGAGTTTTAACTCTTTCCTCTCCCTGGATTGTCAGAACTCTTGATCATTGAGTAACAGTGCTTGCAAACATAATTGCCTTTTACCATCGCCTGTGAAACACGTGCAGATGAAGGCTGAGTCCTGAAACAGGGTGAGAAATGCACAGCCAGCAACTGCATGTTTGACTCAGAGCTAAGAGCGGCTCCTTTGCCCTCACTTGTTTTCTCTGTCTTGCATGCATGAGATGCAGAACTCAAGTCCGATGCTAGTCTCTCTTCAGGGTTTTAGAGAAGGAAGTAATAGTGAAGTTAGGTCTGTACAAGTTATGTAAGTCTCACTCCTTAGACTGATGCATCGTGTGACTTTTGTCACCTTAAACATCAGTTTATCCTTCTGTGGAATGGGCTTTTGACTGCTCCGGGGGCGCTCGACACATTCATTTGGTAATGGCTTGTAAAAACTCAATCAGTTTTCATCTACTTCTCTTCTTTATTAGCAGGTGCCTCTGAAAAGTCTTCAGTTTAATTTGCTCCACAAGCAACTGACATAGAAGTTTGCTTTGGACTTAGGGAGTCAGATAATTAGATTGAAAATGTATGGTATCACAGCCTAGCTAGGGCACGGCGGAATGTATATAAGTGTATCAACTACAAAAAAAAAAGTTGCCTTTAGTGAAATTGAGCCTTATGTGACGGTAAAGATTTAGTGCTTAAGGGGGTTGAGGACTTCGATCTCACCTGCACTTTTGTGAAAATCAGACATTTATTACTCAAAGTATAAACAAAAGACACGGAATGAGGGCAAATACTTTTTCTCCTGTAACAGCAATATTTTTGAGCCAGACTTCCAGGATTACATTAAAACATCCACTTTCACGACACCCATAATTAATTGGCATTAGTTACATATATTAACAGATGTCGATGATACTGGCTAAAATAAGTGACTGCGGTGATTACATGACTTGTAGTGAAGCAGTAGAGAACTTCGTTTTACTCCTTTGAGCTTCTTATGCATCCTTACAGGGCTCCTCTATTTCTTGCATGAACTTCCTAGTTCAAATCCCTTCCAAGGGCATTATCGTGAAGCTTCAAATTTGGCTTTCTGAAATAGAAGAAAGAGAAGGAAATGAGAGGTGGCTTCTATCTTTGACCCCTCCAAGGAAAGCAGTGGTGAATATTTTAAGCAGCTCTTCTGGGAACAGGCTTATTTGATACCTTTCCCTGTGTTTGCTGAAGCTGCGCTTCCCAATCTTGGTATTTTTAAGGGTCTTGAAGCTAAGTGATCATTCACCTTCCGGTATCCTCTTTTCACAGATGTGGAAACTGAGGGATGAACTGTCTCAGGGATTTGCTTACGGTTCAGAAACTGGTTAGTGGCAGAGGTGGGTGGCCCTAGAATCGAGGCCTTCTGAATTTCCCCCCTCGACATACTGGGTTCCTTCTTCAATTACAGATGTACTTGAAAGCCCTCTGGCCGCCAGGAGATCCCTACTGCTGCTGTTTCTTATGAGATTTCTCTTGGAATCCTTTGGGAAGCTGGTGAAGACCTTGGACAAACTGAGAAAAACCCTAAAAACTACGTACATGCACAGTCTGACACAGAATTTTAGGGATGGACGCACAGCTGCTGGTCAAGGCATCCTCAGGCTTTCAAATTCTTGCCGTAGGGCTCACCTTCCGTTTTTCATTGCATCCCTGCAGCTGTTTAGTCTAAGTAAGAGGTTCTTGGACCTTTAATTTCAGCCCTAAGGGATTCAGGGACTCTGTGACTTAGCCTAACAGAGAAAGGAATACAGATGTGGTTATAGAAAATGTGCACAGCAAGGAGTCATTGTCAGTGATTTATTTATTTGTTCCCCATCATCCCAAACTATATTAACAGATCCCTTGAGCAAGTTCATGAGCCAGTGGTGAACCTTAGGTGAATGGTTTCCTCCTCTGAAAGGAAAGGTGGAAATTGTGCTTCTCGGGTTTTAACTGTAAAATATGAGTGCCTTTGCCCCCACAGTTGTATGATAGCACAAAAGCATTTCTAAAATAAACCATATAAGCACAGTTTAAAAATAAAGATAGGGAACATTATGCAAAATTATGAAATTGGCAAATGTGTCTTCTGGTGCCACGGTTCTAGTTTTCTCTGCCCCTCTTTCTTCCCTCTATCTGAACTTGCTTTCTGGAGAGGACCTGGGAGCCTCATTTACAGGGAATCCCCCAAGTAAAGGTAAGGGTGCGGGCATGCTACCTGTGGGCACATTTGCATATTGATTGAGTCCCGTTCAACAAATGACTTGGTTCAGAGTAGAATCTGACCGAAGCTGGGAGCCTGCAGGATTTTGTTAGGCAGTAAATGGCTTGCTACCGAGGGTTGGCCGGGCTGGGTCAGTGGGAGGCCACCTTTGGAGCCACTCAGTGTGCCAGCAGCTTTAGGGGGCACAGGCTTGGCAGAGGGGGAAGCTGTCACACCTTCCAAGTGGTAATTGTTCTCTTTGTCTGAAGGCCTGTAGCTCCGCCTCCCCAGAAGACTGTGCTAGAAAGTCACCTGGAATATGCTAATCTCACACCAAAGGTTGCACTGGATACGGCCTGGTTGCTTTGCTCACAGCCTTCTTCAAGGTGTCTTGTGAGGCCATTTTACAGATGTGTAAACTGAGACCACAGGTGGCATAGCTGGAAAGCGACGGAACTGAGGCCACAAAGCCAGGTGTTTTGGCCCCAGGTCTCCGGTTC